GGGGGGGGGGGGGGGCGGAGAAAAAAAGAGAGAGAAATGTAATTTGAAGAGATGTGATCTCAGGAATACATGGTATTACAGGATTACACTAGAGTCACTTCTCCTAATTGTTTCCAGAAAAGTAACTTAGCTTTCTCTTTCCAGTAAGGCAGCTGAGACCCTGCTCTGGCAGTTCCTTTCCCAGTCTCCAAAAATCAATCTGGAAAAAGAAGCGCTGGTCTAGAAGAATTATAAATCACTTGATAATATCTGAGTGATGATTCTGTCTAGATTTTCCAGATTCGTGTCTCGAATAAAGGAGGAGTTAATTCAGAATTCACTTGAGAGAAAGGCATTTGTCTAAAGACTTTTAAAAGCTATGTTTACTTACCTTAATTATGCTATTTTGTCATCAGTAGATGTTTGTGCAATGGGCCAACACTTTGCTCTTCTTCTTCAGTTTGGCAACAAACACTGTGGTGCAGACATACAATGCTGGCCGTCCTGTCTGGAGCTGCTGCTGGTGCCTCGATGATGCAAACTACATCTATGCTGGATTGGTCAATGGCTCTATCATGATATATGATTTGAGAGACACCAACTCTCATGTCCAGGAACTAGTCCCTCAGAAGTCCAGGTACAGCATAAGGACTTTTCATTCCTTTCAACTTCACCAATATACTTAAACTAAATGTAGCTTCGTTCATAAATCACACAGCAATTATAACAGTTTAAATTGTTTTATGTGAATCTCTTGTTCAGATGTTCAAATTTAGCACAGATGTGAGAAGCTTTTCATAAGGTTGCATGATACATGTGTAACTTAGTATGAGTGCTTGGCACCTGTAGCTTTTCAAGGCACACAGTGGTCAAAAAAGGACCCACCAGTGCTGCCTAAGCAGGAGAAATGAATTTGTTTTGGACTTGGGTTTAGTATTTAATTCAGAAAGAACATATTAGAAAGAGATGTGAGATGCTGGTACTTCCATCTCTTCTATTCAGGGAATCAAATGCTGATTTACACGCATCTGATGTGTGCTGTCTGCTCCTTCAAAACATGAGGCTCAGTAGTTGAGTTTGTCAGTAAGAAGTTCATTGGGGTTTCTTGCTTGAAGGACCATTTTGTAGCCTGCTTAGGCTCTTTCTTTGCAATGTGGTGGGAGAGAGGAGCTCTGAAGTGGTGAGGCAGAATGCCAACGTGGTTGCAGCTGGCAGCACTGACTTACCAGTCCCACTTGCAGGTGCCCCATGGTATCACTGTCCTATCTGCCCCGGATGGCCTCAGCCTCACTGCCTCACGGTGGAATATTAGCTGGGACCTTGGAAGGAGCCTGTTTTTGGGAACAGAAAGCTGGCAACTCCTACCGGCCTCATCACCTGCCACTGGAACCTGGAGGATGCATCGATATTCAAACGGAGATCAGCACACGGCACTGCCTTGCGACATACAGGCCTAGTACGTAATGGCATGTGTCTGCAGTGCGCTTTTCATCACTGCTCTGGCCTGCTGTTCATTGAGTTCAGCAGCAGCTTTGGTGCTGAGGGTACAGCAGAAATGTAGTAGCTGCCCTAGCTAGAGCAATGAGCATCTGCACATGGATAAGAATTGGGTGAGGGTGAAAGGAGGCAGCTGCAAGGTGCTGGTGTTGCTTGTATTCCTACAGTTAAAACTTGTCTGCAATTCAATTTTCCCACGGTTATCTTTTTATTTCTGCCACAGGTAAAAATAACCCATGCGTGCGTTGTGTGATGATGGAACTGACTTGCAGCCCACCGACAGAGGCCTCAGAAGATGTGGTGTGTTCTTCTAACCCGGTTCAGACTTTCAGTGCTGGGCCCACCTGCAAGTTGCTGACCAAGAACGCCATTTTTCAGAGCCCAGAGGAGGATGGCAGCATCTTTGTGTGTGCCGGTGATGAGGCATCTAATTCAGCCCTGGTATCTATGTTGCTCTTAATGTGGTGGAGGGTTTTATTACAGTTCTTAGGAGAGAAGTCTTATCAGTCACAGCATCAGTGTGTTTTGGTCTTGTCATGCACCTTACCCTGTGCAGGCTGGACTGTTGTACTTGCTGTAGCAGGTGTAACTCTGATGGCGTGGAACACTCAGTATCAGCCAAGGTCCACATCCATCGAGAGGAATGTAGGCAGCAAGCCCCAATTGTCCACCAGAGGAATGCAGTTGGGCACGCTGGCGCAACTGGGCACTGTGAGTGGTGTAACAGGCTTGGCGGGATAGCTGAGGTGGTATGTGGTGTGAGAGAGGATGCAGGCTCTTTGGGTCTGACAGGGAAGCTGAGGGGAAGGGCTGCCCTTTATGTGAAAAAGCAGCCTGACTGCAGGGGATGGGCAACAGGCTGTGTGAGTCAGGGTCAGAGGAGAGGGCAGTCTGGGCAATATCGTGTTCGAGTCTGTCGAGACCATCCAAGCAGGGTACAAAAGTAGAGAAAGAGTCCTGTAAGTAACTTGAAAGTCTTTCCTCTAGAGAGAGGAATCTGTGTTCTGGATGGGAGGGGGGATTTCCTGCAGCCTTTGACCCTCTCTGTCCCACAGCTCTGGGATGCTGGCAGTGGCTCCTTGCTGCAGAAGCTGCAGGCTGACCTGCCTGTGCTGGATATTTGCCCCCTGGAAGTGAACCAAACCCACCTCCTGGCTACTCTGACTGAGAAGGCGGTGAAGATCTACAGGTGGCAGTAAGAGTGGTCCCTACGCTTGCCTGAAGTCTTCCAAACGTGCTGCTGATCAACCCTGCACAACTGCTTAGTCCCAGGCTCTGCTGTCCTGCACACGCTGCTTACAGGAGATGGGAACCACTGCAGCACCTTTCTGGCAGTAGGCAGGAACTGCGATGTGCTGGTGCCTGGAGCAATTCCCTTCTTCCTTCATCTTCCTTTTTATGTCTACCCTTATTTCTTCTTAGGTCAATTTTCTTCAGTCAGACTCTGCAAGTTGCCTCAGCACAGCAGTAATTCTTGGACTGTCTCCAGCATGTGTTGCTGCACTCTTTTCCAGTGTGAATACAGCACAGGGACTTGCAAATCTCTTAGACAAATCAACAAAATAAGAAGAACTTGAAGACCTGAGACTCCCACCGCACTTTCTCATGGAGTCCTGGTGTGATTACTGGGTGATAAAAAGGTGGCAATATTGGCATCTTGCTAGCGTGGCCGATACTCAGTGTAAAGGCAGGCTCACTGCTTTAGAGAACATACCCTCGTGTTCTTTTGAAGGTCTAGGGTCAGTTGGCAGTTATTGCCTGATGAGGACAGACCCTGTTTTGTACTTGTGGAGAGCACAGGCTTGGAAAATCTATATACTTTGCACTGTAGTTCATTAATCTCTGTTCCCATTTCCTTCTCCTCTCTTTCCTGCTTCACTCACAAGCAAACTTGGACAGTTTGGTTGTGGAAGATGAAACACTAGAAGTACAGGTAAAGAGGAGGAGATGTACTATTGGCTGCTGAAGGCCGTGGTGTCCTTAAAGACAGCAGTGTACTGAGACAGTACCTTGGAAAGGAATGCTGGTTGCTGTTTTTTAGTTGGGTTTTTTTTGTTGTTGGTGGTTTTTGTTTTTTCCTCCCTTTGAGGAACTGGTGGAGACTCAGGGATTTCATCAGATTGCTTTCACTGACCTTTTGCCTTCCTTAAATCATAGTTACCAGTTCACTGGCAGGTCACAGGCAGCTTCCGGTTGTATTTGTGTGCAGGTGTGCTGCAGACTTGTTGGTTTACTTAAATCTGAGCCCATGGCATGGGATCACGGGCAGGGGATATGTTGCTGGCCAGGTACAGTGGGCTCTTGGCACCCTTAGCATAAATATGCTGTGGCGTGTGAGAATGTTTATTTCCAGGTCAGATCGTGGAAGAGGACTTATGTTTCACTTTGTTTAACGAAAACAAACTTGCAAGGATGTTGGAAGCTGCAAGACAAGTTCCCTGTGCTGGAAACTTACCCCTCAGCACACCTCTGCCTCTGGCTGTGGTAAGCAGCATCTGTTCTGTTTGGATTGTGTGTGCTGCCATTTAAATTGCCAGAACAGTTTTATTTTATGGTCTGAGGCTTGCACAGTGTGATCCTGTTTGTCTTCCCTCTTAAACAGAGATCTTCTCGATCTCATTTTTAACTTTTATATTTTTCTGTATAGTATTTTGTTCCTATATTTTTATATACTGTACAAATAAAGTCTTCATAGTTTATCAAGTATAACTGGTGCTGCTGTACTTTAAAAATGTCTGTGATATACAATGTGTATCTTTGAACATCAACAAACATCCCTGGATGCAGGTGAGGTTTCTCATGCTTTGTAGTATTTTCAAGTCACACTTGGCTTCAAACTGAAATATTGGAGGCCTTTAGTGACAAAATAGTCCTCACTGAACTACTCTGCTCTGACCAGGTGAGGGGAAAGGAAAGGTTGAGCCAGGCTCAACTGACATGTCTTTTTAACTGGAAACAAACTCACTGTGATGTGAGACTTTTTGGCATTTTAATGATGATCAGGAACAAAGGGTTAGAATAACACTGAGACGGTCTCCAGTAAGACTAGCTAAAACCAGAGGAAGCAGGCTGCACTCTGGCAATTTAGTGCAATGAACTGCTTGTTCTCAGCCATTTTGAGCCATCATTTATGCTCAGTCAACTCCAACCCCTTCCCACAAGAAATTTGGGAAATATTAAATGTATACAGGAAAAGGAATTAAAGGACTTATTTAGCTTTTTGATTTTCTAGGTAGCACTTGTTTTCTACTTTATACTGCCCTACAGGACTAAGAAGTACAAGCTTAAATGCTATTAAAATAATAATGGAGGATGACACTTCCATTCTCTCTCAGTTTCAAATCCAGAGTTGAAGAAAACTTTCCAAGATTTGAGATGTGAAGAACCTTGTAACATTGTCCTACTCACAGGTTTGCAGCAGGTTCTGGAAAAAAAGCACCTAAATTGCATGCAGAAAGCTATCAGTATTGAGGGCTGATAAAAGGTCAAATATGTTAATTACATATTTGCTCATCACTGCCTAGAGTCAAAGGGGCAGATTCTGGGATAGAAGGAAGAAAAAGTCAGTGTCTCTGCAGGGTGCAGGCTAGCTGTCATTAGAGGCTGAGCTGTTTCACTGGTGTTTTAGGCAATAAGCCACTCTGTGGCTATTTCTGCCTCTGTCTCTGGGAAGATTTTGTTATTGTGAAGCAGGGTGGCCCCTTGGCAATTCCTGTAGTAAATCTGATGTGAGGCAATAGGTAAAGCTGGGCAGCGCTGTGGCTCCTGCAGACAGTCTGGCTCTTAGCTCTGCTCCGGCATTTTTAAACACTCTTCTCCAGGCTGTTGCAGGGGAGCACCTTTCCTAATTTTAATTCTTGCAAAACCAGGCCTCAGGGACAGCATTGGCCAGAGCTGGCTGTGGTGGCAGCTTGGCAGGAAACCCAGGGGCCTCACTGGTGCTGAACACAACCCAGCCTGGGCAGCCTCTGCTGTTCCCTGCGGAGGTGCAGGGTTGGGGGGAGGCAGGTTGGGAAGGGGAGGCCAGAGTCGGAGGGATCTGTGTTTTCCTGAGAAGGGCTGTCCTCCTGTCCCTCAAGCAAGAGTGATCCAGCTGGGGTCAGGCTGGGTGATGGGGGCGAGCAAAGCCTGGCCAGGGCAAGGTCGGGAGGCAGCCAGCTCCCTGCCTGTGCCTGGCCTCTGCACCACAGGGGCTTCCCTGCCACAGCACCCACCCTTGCATTTGAGCTGTTGGTTCATAGTGTTTCAGGGGTAAAATTTTAACAAATATAGTACAAAATGTTGCAGATGGCAAAAGGTAGTGCTAATAAAGTGTGAGTGAAGAAGCGAACATAGCTTGGCATGTATGCACGTAAGGGAGGACCTGCCAGGGCTTCACTTGGCTCTGGCTGTGCCTGCTGCTTCCTGGAGGGTGGAAAAGCAGCTATTTTATGTGTCCCAAACCAAATTGGATTTAAATCAGGCAATGCAGCAAGTGAAACAAGCAGCTTAATCTAAACCTTGTTACACTGAGGTAGCCAGAGCATCCCAGTAGGATTTCATTTGGTTCCCCTTTTCTGGTTTGTGAGGAGATGTGGCAGGATCTTCTGCTAATGTAGATTAGCAGATTTTCTACCAAGGCAGCAAATCCCTTAACAGAGCTGGCTTTCTGCTGGTTTATGAAGGAGAGAGAATATGAGGAAAAGGAATTCAGGGAGAAAGGAGAGGAGGGAAACAAAGGAACAAGCAAGCAAAAACTAGTTTTCTATTGGGCTTGATTTGCATCAAATACAAGAACTAGTAAATGTGAAAGAACAGATTTCACTGCCAAGAGAGGTAGGGAGAAAGGGGCCAGATCTCCCCTGTTGGGATGTGCTTTCAACTTTCTATTCGCAAATCTGCAGTAAAGGCTTTGCCCAGCTAAATTGGGAGTCCAGCTTCCTCCCTAAAGGTTGTAGAGTTGTCTGCGAAATCGAGCAGAGCGGGTCAGGGCACCTTGGTAGTGGGACTGACCCCCTGCTGAGCTGCTGATGTCCCCTGCAAGCGCTCTCTGCCTGCCAAGTCAAGCATGTTGGTGCAAACAGCCTCCACCACTTAAGATAACATTATTTATCATTATTTATCTGTTTTTGAGATAGTTAGGGATAATGCTGAGAAGGCAGAAAGGCCTCATGCTTCTCTTTGCTAAAGAGGGGCTATGCTTGGGTGGCAGCCAGAGCTGCGGGTGCCCTGGTGTCACAGCACTGGGTGCTGCGAGGAAGGTGCCTGCAGGAAACTCCTGCTCTGGGACAGGGGAGTTCATTGGTAAAATCTAGGAGCTGTAGCAGCATCTTGAGAGCACCAAAGGCATGTGAGATATTGCTCCTATCCCATTTCTTGCAAAATAGTGCCTCTAAGTAGAGAATAAAAAAAAAAAAAAAAAAAAAACTATGCCCTGAAATGCTTATCTAATCCTTGGGACAAACTTAGCAGGTAACAAACACTGTCTGGCCTGTGCTGGTCAAGAGAGAAAAAATTCCTCAAACTAATTTCAGTGATTATCCTACCCAGTGAAACATAATTAATTTGCAGGTCCAGGGGGTTTAGTGTCACATCAAGTCCAATTTGGTATTTCCGCTAGCGGCAGAGGTGGCAGAAGGGGGAGTGAGCCCCCCGTCCTTCCGACGGTGTCAAGCTGGGAGCAGCACCGAGTGCTTGGGAAGGCAGAAGCAGGATTGGGAAAGAATTGTGGCAGGTTGGAGGAAGAGTTGGAAAGTTGCCCGTTTTTTCTGGTAAAGGTAGATGCTAACTGCAATACAGAGCTGCACACGTATGGGGGTGAGCAACAAGCTCTGCAGGAACAACCTGGGGCATCTGATGCTTCAAGAAGTAAAGATGTGTCAACAGCATCGCTCTTTTGTAAAAACTACAAATGTTATGTTGGCCTGGATGAGGAGTTGTGCATAAAAGGCACAAAGCTCCCCTTGCGCTTGACACTCATGAGGCTGCAGCTGGAGTATTGTCTCGTGTTTGTCCACAGCCTCCTTGGAAGCTAAATACTGCTGTGGTCCTCTGGTTATTTCCTAACGTGGATGAACAATGGTGCTGCAGGACTCTTAGCTATGAGAAAAGCTAAAACAAAGTGGGGCTGAACCTGTGCATGTTGTGCAAATAAAACATGAAATACCAGGCTAGCGTTGCTGCCTTGGCCATCAAGAAAAAGCGTCGGATGGTAGTGGTAACAAAGCACCCAACTTGGTTCTCTGCAACAGCATTTGCCGGTGGAGATGACCATTGGTTAGGAAAGTTTTGGGGGACCCACAGTGTTGGAGGGAGGCAGCTGAGCCAGTGCATGCAAGGGAGAGGGCCTCAGGGTGCCGTGTGGAGGCTGAGCTGAGATTCGGAGCTGTGATCATGGCTACATGGGAGTGAGCGGTCTGTAGCTAATTAAAAATTGGAGCAGCTCCTCTGTGTGGACTGAGGAAGAGCTTTTCTCCCTGAGGTGGTGAGCTAGAGGGTGAGGATGCTGCTGGGAAGGAGTGAGAGGCGTCCCAGCATCTCGGCTCACCTCAGCCTCACTCTGCAAAGCTGGGGCCAATATAAATGCATTTTATTGCTTGAAGCAGTGACACTTAAATGGGCTGCTCGCTACAAAAGCAGACGACTGCAAGCACTTAATGCAGCACCCAGAGTCTGAGCCTTGCTGGTAAAATGCTTAAAATGTGGCAATAAGGGATTTTCCACCAAGCCTGAGCTGAGGGAAAGGGGCTGCTGTTGTAGTGAGCTGCTGGGATTATTGCATGGGCAGAGATGTCGCTATGCACAAAGAAATACCTCTTCCTTGTTTAACTTGCTGCGTGGATGCAGTGAGCGTAGGGCTCTTTTTATGAAATGCTTATTTAATGGTGGATTACACAGGATGGTAAAATCCAAGGTTGGGAGGAGGTTTCCCTTGAGCACAGGATGTATGTGGGCTGCTTGTCAAAAATTGAGCCTCTGGAGAGCTCCCAAGGGTGTGGGAAGGAGAAGAGAGCTGTAACCCAGCTCTACTGCTCCTCTCTGTCCTCGTCCTGTGATGGGTGGAGGAGCAGAGCCAGCTCTTGCACTGGGCTAGCTCTTCAAATAACTTCCACAAAGCCAAACAAGCTGCCAAGCACGGGATGGATGTTGCTGGCTTTTTAGTGTTCCTAGCTGCACAGCCCCTGGGCGCCAGCACAAAGACACTTTCCCGAGCGCATGACACTCACAGGGACTTTGCCAGCTGACCCCCCTCCCTCTCCTGCCCTTGTCTCCACCTGGATGAGGTGGCTACGGGCTGGTGGCCACGGTGGGCTCCAGTTTGCTCATGGTGCTTTGGTAGCTCCTGGCGTGAGTGAGATGGCTGGTGGCATCCCCAGAAGGGCTTTGCCCAGGCAGGATGAGGCAACCTAGAGAAGTGAGCAGCCCCATAGCTCTGCTTCACGCCAGCTTGTCGCGCCAGGGCAGACCCATGGAGTGCCCTGGAATTCAGGCAAAAGCTTCTGACTTTGGACTAATGCTGGCTTGTTCTGGAAAAACTGCTCCAGCAGTCAACCAGGCAGAAGAATTGAGATGGGATTCTCCCTGTTTCCATCTGCCATTGGAAGCAAAGCTGAGATTTTGGGGTAAACCCATCCCAGGAGTGTGTTGTGAGCTGGTTTGGTGAGATCCTGCTGCTGGGAGACTGGGAGGGCACCCAAACAGCTGTGTTTGCTGAGCTGGTGGTGGACCTGCATCCCACTGCTGCCATTGACCCAACACCTGGACAGATATATTTTCACTGTGAAATTCAGGGGTCTGGCTGCCAGGGTGGTGGGGGCCATGGCATTACCAAAACACTGCTCCAATGGAGGCTGCACAGTTGCAGACACTGCTTTTAGATTATCTGTCACCAAACTCAGCATCCAACTCCCCGTTATTGGCCTAGGAGGAACTATGGGATCAGCCAATGTAGATGCTGCTTTGGGGACAAGGTCCCTCTTACAGAAGCACCCATTTCTCTCCATCCCCATGAAGAAAGCCTGGAGCCATGATCGATCACCACATGCCAAATTTGAGCCACAAAACAGAGGGCCCTGAACTGAAAAGGTAGGAGGTGCAGCCAATCCATCAAACTCTAAAACAAGCATCCCCAAAATGTGGTTTTTCTGCCCTTGCTCAGCTGCCTATTCCCTGGGAGGGACCCTAGGGCTGCACCACCATGGAGCAGGTAGCGGCATTTATCCTGTCCCCTCCTGCCAGCCTGGGCATCTGCATGGTGCAGATCACCCCAGCTGAAAACTCAGCACCTGGCATGGGGAAACACCACCATGAAGGTTGTCTGTGTTGGTGGGGTTTGCTGCCCATCTCTGGGATGATGCAACCCTTAGTTGCACAATCCTGTGCTGGTTTGTTAAAGTGAGCCCTTTCTCGCCCATGAGCATCCTAGCTGGCTGGCAGTCAGTATTCAGTATTCTGTGGGGTTTTTTTCCAATATTTTACTCAAGTTTTTGGTTTTTTTGAGCAGCTATTCACATTTTTTTCCTTCATTGTTCCATATGTGGCCCTAAGTTTTCTTGACTGCACACTAGTCCCACCCTGCTCTGAGCACCATTTCCTCATGGCCTTTCCTACATCCTCTAATCACCAGGGCAGTCCAGAGCTTCTCAGGCTTTTAACGACTCTCCTCAATGTCCCTCTGAGGAGGCTGGCACTGTGAGCTCCATTTCATGGGTGGGAACTGAAAGATTTAAGGCAAAAATAGGCCACAGCTTCTGGTTACCTACTGTGGGAAGCATGGGGCAGAGCTGCCTTCCCAGAGGCGTGAGTGTGCCCTGGGGCAAGGCTCCTCGCGTCCCCGGTCACTGGTGCTGCAGGCCCAGCAGTTTGGCAGGTGCTGTCCTGCGTGGCTGACAGGCTGTGGAGGCCACTGTGGGGCCGCGATGGCCGTTGGGGGCCGTGATGGCGGCCGGGGGCCGTGATGGCGCCTCGTCCTCATGAGGCGACGACGGGCGGGGCGGAGCCAGGGGGCGCGGGGGGCGGGACCAGAACAAACCACGCCCCCTCGCCACGAAAAGGGTGTGGTCGGCGGAGGGGGCGCGGCGAGGTGACGTCATCAGCACGCTAATTTGCATACGGCGTGCGT